TGATCCCAACCCGTGTAGAACGGTGTAGCTCAATTTCGTCTTTTTATCGTCTTTTGGAAGAGACGAGGGAAAGGTGAGGGAAAGACGAGAACAAGACCACAGAATCCGTCAGTTTCGTCTCTTTGTCGCCTTCCCTCGTCTCCTGCTCGTCGAGAAAGTGTACACCTTTGCGACGAGCCGGAGACGAGATAACGACGAACTCATCTCGGCAGTCAAAAGCAGTGCCGGGCCGAGCATCGAACCCGAGACCATCTGAATAGAAGTCCGTCACGGTGACCACTTGGCCAGAGCGGACACCTAAGGGAGGGGACGCGAGGAACGAGACCCAATCGGCCAGGCGGCCCGGCCCGCAAAGAGACGAAACTGACGGATTCTGTTGTCTTGTTCTCGTCTCTCCCTCACCTTTCGCTCGTCTCTTCCGAAAGACGATAAAAAGACGAAATTGAGCTACACCGTTCTATCCCCCGGTCGTCCAAGCGCCGCGCCGCCCGGCCGAGTGGGCCTCGTTCCTCGCGTCCCCTCCCTTAGGTGTCCGCTCTGGCCAAGTGGTCACCGTGACGGACTTCTATTCAGATGGTCTCGGGTTCGATGCTCGGCCCGGCACTGCTTTTGACTGCCGAGATGAGTTCGTCGTTATCTCGTCTCCGGCTCGTCGCAAAGGTGTACACTTTCTCGACGAGCAGGAGACGAGGGAAGGCGACAAAGAGACGAAACTGACGGATTCTGTGGTCTTGTTCTCGTCTTTCCCTCACCTTTCCCTCGTCTCTTCCAAAAGACGATAAAAAGACGAAATTGAGCTACACCGTTCTACACGGGTTGCCCGCGTTCAACTCGCGTCGAACTCGCGTCAAAAAAGTCTTTGATGTGGGGATGACTTCTGTTTGGTAGGCTTAATTTGATAACTGGAATCAAAAATCCGATACCCACAACCAGAGGTTGGTTGTCACGACCGGACACTTGTGCGAATTGAAACCAAAATGGAGTTTGTTGTATTCTTACAAAGTGTCCGGTCGTGGCAACCAACGCGTGGTTGTGAGTGTGGGATTCTTAATTCTAGCTTTCGTATTTCGCCTAACAATCAGAGTTGATTCTCACAACGAGTTCTTGTTTTTCCGTGTATAAAGCTGTGACGATAGAGATCGTCTTGACATCACCCGTTCTCCAGTTCGCGTCCCTGGCTGATGGACTGGAGACGCCCCGGAAATCCAGATGTAGGCCGCCCGCCCTGCCGCCGCCACCCTACCGTCCCCAGTACCTGCCACCCCACAGCAGAGGACGTGCCGCAAATAAATTAGCGATTACTTTGGGAGCGCCGCTGTAGGCTCTCATAGACTTTCACTCACGGGGGCGGCTCACCTGGCGCCTTAGGGTGTCGGCCGGACCAAGTTTCCGCATCTTCGGCTTAACTGGATACACCACGGCATCCGCTTTTACCCCAAAGGAGAGTTGCCGTACCTGAAAGCGTCGTGCATCTCCCGGCTAACTCACCTTGCGGCGAGCAGGCTCCAAAAGTGGCCGCGAATAGAGGCCTTAAACATTCAACATGCCCTTTTTTACAGACCAAAACGTGCGACCATCAGAGTTTCTGCTGCTCGTAAAGGCGCCGAAATTTGACGCTTTATTTCTGTTAGTCACTCTTACAAGGAAACCTTTTCAGGTGTAAATCTCCGATTTCGTTGAAACATGGATAATTTGAAGGTTATTTACGTAGAAATCGGATGGCCATTGAAATTTTTCCTGAACCTCACATTTAGTTTTTCCTTATAGGGTAGGAGTAAGGTTTTCAAAACTGATATTTTTTGAAAAACGTTAAGCTGTATTCTAAGAGGTAACTCGTCAAAGTAGCGTCTTCGGGGCCAAAATTTTGTCCATTTTGCTCTAGTTTGTACCGTTAAGGCGGTAGAGGGATGTTTGAGACAAAATACACTGTAAGGCTCAAGTAAACCCCAAGTCACTGTGAGGTTCAGGAAAAATTTCAAGTGCCATCCGACTTCTAGTATGTAACCTTTAAATTTTCCGAGTTTCAACGAAATCGGATATTTACACCTGAAAAGGTTCCCTTGTTAGCTCCTTACCAACAGCAGTGTTCGTTCGTATTACGAAGAATTGAGTTTGTAATGTGCAATAAAGAATCTAAAGCAGCCATCATATTACGAACGGCTTTCCTTCCAAGGGCATGCCGAAGTAGGCAAGCAGCCTTAGGGCTCATTGTTAAGTGAGCCCCTCCTAGAGTTGGGCGATTGAAATGGGAGATGACAGAATCTGCGGGCGGCCCTCCTGACGACGCTGCCCGCTTCCCGCGCGCCAGAGGCCCCTGACCTTGACGCTGTTGTTTATCCAATCGGATGGGTTCCCTCTGCCCGCGCCGAGCAGTTGCGACAGTGCGGCGGGAGAGAAATGCGTGAGACGGGCTGATGAAGGAGGCGGACGGACGAACTTTGTCGAATCTGTCTCAGCCGCTTCTCCTTTACGCGTCCTGTAAATAAGTATCCGCCGACTTTGTAACTCAGTGGCCACAAAAGCCACGTGCAATAATGGGAAAGGCTTTAAAGCGAGCAGCACTCCGATCCAGCCCGCCGAGAGCACGGGTCCGCACGGCAAAAGCACGCGGAAGGCACAGATTTGCACAACGTCTGCACCGAGAAGGCGCGATTTTGCACGGATATTTTTCAACAGGGGCTACCCCTAGTTGTGAGTATCGGATTCTCGATTCCAGCTATCCTTCGTAGGTACGAAGGATTTGGCATTTTGCCTCGTAAGGTTTTAACTGTGTGGAACTCGGCGAGCAAGTACTGTATGCTATTTTTTTGCCCCCCTTCCCAAAACTATACAAAACTTAGCGCAGGGCACGTCCTTCGGGCGGTTGCAGTAGAGGTTTGCAGTGCGTGCAGATTGGTCCAGAGGGGTTCGCCCACGGCCGCAGACACAGGGGCTTGGCCGCCTCAAAGGCAGCCCTCACAGTCTGAGCAGAGCCCTTTTGGCAGTCGCAGCGATGCGCGGGACGAGACGGGGGACGGACAGCCGTTAGACGACTAGTAAGTGTGATTGCCTTTGAGCTGCGGGGCGTGGTGGGGGATGGTGGGACGAGGGCTGTGCTGCACCAGGACAGCCCCAAGGAGACTGTAATCGTCTCTCACATCGTCTGCGCGACGCGCTCGGCCATGACGCACCCAGCTGCGTGGTCCTGCGGGGCGGGGCCCTACTCGCCCGAGGCAATACCACCCGGCCGCCACGCGGTGCCACGCCGCCAGAGGTAATATACGTCAACATAAACTGCCTTAGAAAATTCGAATGGCTGGTCTCGGCGACGGGTGGGCAGGGCTCCGTGAACCGACCGCCTCCGGCTGATCTTACTCGGCCCCCCCCCCCCCCCCCCGCGTTTATGGCGTCGGGGGGTGGGGTGGGGTCGGCCCCGGTCGGCCGCTGTCTTCCTCCTGGCCCTCGGGCGTGGCGGGGCATGGCGTGGCGGGGCGTGGCGGGGCGTGGCGGAGCGGGGCGGAGCGGGGCCCCGGGAGTAATTGACAGCGATAAGCCGTAAGCCGCCTGTCCTTACAGTTCGCTTGTTACACCCTGCGGCTGATACGTAGGCTGTGTGTGTGTGTGGGAGCGCCCGAGAGAGAGCGAGGGGATGGGGCTTGTTTTGCGGTGAGCGTTGAACGGGGGAGAGGCGATGACGTCTGACCAGCCGGCCGCGCGCCCGGCAGCAAGGGATTGGCGTTGAAAGGCGCCCGGCGGACGCTGGGGGAGCCGGACCGCACAACGGGACGAAGAGGAAATCCTGAGTTTCCTTCCGATCGTATCTCTGCCGCTGCTGCCTCGGCTGCTGCTACGAGATCGACGACGCGCTCATCACAATTTGAAGGACGCCTCCCTGCTGGCTGTTTTCTTCTGGTCGGGGGGTTCGTGGGGGTGGTGAGCGCGAGAGAAAAGGAGAGGTAAAGCGGACACCAAAAGAGCGACCTCATTTTCATTTGGGGTGACCTCCTGCCTGGTGTGTATGTGTGTGGTCCGAAAAGCCCCTACAGTCTGCCGTGTCGCGCGACGCACTCGTGGCCCGCCGCGCCATCTTCACGGGAGTGGTCGGTGTGCCGCGGCGCAGGCTCCCTCCTCCTGGTCCCTGCCCTCCCCGGCCTCGCCAGCGGTGCCTTGCCCTCTGGCCCGGGATCAGGATAAATTGGATGAAGTGTCCCTGACGCCGGCCAGGGAGCCCGGAGCCCGGTCAGGGGCGAGGGGGGTGGGGTACTCCAGGACGCGCCGCCCGCCCGCGGCCCACGGGCCCACCAAGCAGCGTCTCGACCTGCCCCTCCTGCTCCAGCGCCGATGAGAAGCACGGAGCCCCGAGCCGCGTCAACGGCCTCTTCTCCGCCTGCGGAATGATTGGGCAATCCTCTGGGATCGTCCCGACGTCGCCATGTGGACAAACACGACGGCTGTGTGGGGCGTGGGGACGGGCCTGGCGGCGTCCGTGTCAACCTGAGCGGGACGGAGGGGGGAGTCTGTGAGGTCCAGATAGGTGCAAACATCGACCCCGTCCAGCGCCAGCCGCCGCACCCCCATCCCCCAGCGCAGCCCAGCGCCTCTGCAAACCGTGTATGCAGCGCACACTGCGCCCAAGCCCAAACGGCATAGCGCGGCGTGCATTTGCGCCAACGCGTGCCTGCATCCAGCCCCCCCCCCCCCTCTCCCCGCCTCTTCAAACATTCCACCACTGCGGATTGAGAAAATGAGCTTGATGGACAATATACATGCGCATACATGCGCAGCTGGAAATTAGCTAGCTGCCTTGCTCGGAATTTGACGGTGCCATTTATTTACTTGTCTTTCACCCTGGCGAATGCACTGGTAATGGAAGTGTACGGTTGTTGTACACCTGTGAGTTAGTGATTTTTTTTCGCACCTGCAAGTGAGGAATCTTTTCACTCACCTGCAGGTGCGCGATTTTGGTTTTTCAGTGTGACTTTTGAGTTCCCGTTCTGACGATTTCCGAATATGTGTTGCAGATCGGCAGGGCAGGTGTACAATGTCCGAGATTGCCCCAAGTTGGGGAGGCCGTGGGCGCCGTGCGTTGGGGTGAGTCGTCCGGCCCTTCACACACGTTTGGTTTCACGGTGTCGCCTCCTTCTTCCCCGAGTGGAGCTTGTTATCCGCCCCGTTATGCTGGCCGCGCGCCTGGCCCCGCTACCCCCGCCGCCCCCCGGGGGGGACGAGGTGAGCCGCCGCGCGGGGGCGGGGCGCCAAATAAAAGGAGAGCTCGCAACAAGATCTCCTCTCGCCTTCCTCCACCGCCCGGCGTCCTCCTGCCCCTCCCTCCTCGCCGGCGTAACGAGAAAAAGGCGCTGAGCCTCGTGCGCGGCGTGCGGTGCGCCAGTCAGTGATCGAGGGTGCGTCGCCTGACAGCGCCATTTCCCCCCGGGTGCTAGCGTATGACCCCGCCGCCCGCTGCCCGCCGCGCTAGGGTAGCGGTTGTCCAATAATATAAGAGGCACCCCTTTCTGCCCGCGGCCCCGACGCCAGCAGCTTTAACGCTCGATGCCAGAGTTATCTACCCTCGGACGGCGTGGTGCAGAGGGTTTATGCGTCCTATCCGGGTGTGCGTCCTTGGGGGTTTTTGACAACTTCCTGCTGCCACTCTCCTTCCTTCCATCGCCTTCCCTCCTCCCTCCCCGCTGCTTTGGTGCTTCGGAGGAAACGAGCCGAAACTTAAACAAAGCGAAAGACGCAAACAAGTGGCCGGCTGCGACGCCGACCCCACCTCGCCTCTGTTACTTCTCAGCCGCCGACACGACTTACATATTTCAGGAGACGCGCGGCCTAGCTTTAGCACCCCGCATCCGATTCATTTTCTTTTACAAGTGCCGACGATACTTTTCTGCGCGGGCCGGAAATAGAGACGTGTTGCGCAGGTGTAAACCATTATACTTCGCGGACCAAGTCGCAGCGGCGCCTGTGTCACCCCACGTCGTATCGTCGCTAACAAACTACCGCGACAGCGGTGCCGCCGCACACCCTCGGCAACACGACGGATGAGGCTCAAAGTTTACGGAGAGCAGCGCGTTTGGCCCCGGGTGGCGTTGTCGCGCGTCCGTCCTTGTTGGCGGCCAGCATTGTCTCCGCCCGGCACGCGCGACACCACCACCACCACCACCACTGTCAGCTCCACCACCACCACCACCACCTCCACCACCTCCACCACCACCACCACCACCACTAGCGGGACAGCCAGCGAGCAGCGAGCTCGGAGGGGAGTTAAAGAACTGGGACCAAACTGTGGCCGGAGAAATAATGCACGACGGGAGGGGAGGAGGGTAAAGGGATAGGGAACGAGAACGAGCTGAATTACTTTCGCCCCCGGCCGGTCCTGACCGCGTCGCACCCAACGCCGACACGGCCCTGTCCACTCTGCCGCAGGCCGCAGACGTTCCTCCAGTAGTCCTGACCCGCCTGCTGCTGCCTGGGCGCGTACGCAATTCGGCGCCGTTCCGGCACGTGCCACGTGCCAAGGAACACCAGGTACAATAAGCCCGCCTGTTTGCCAAAATTCTGAAGTTGTTCTTTCGCCATCTTGCCTTTTTACTTTACTTAACCGAATCTCCAGTAGAGTTGTATCTTCGAAGTGAAAATATCGAGTGTCAAAGGCAAGCAAACTGAATGAATGTGAAGTGTGGGGAATGAACAAAGGCATAAATTTAATTAGGAAAGATAAGTGGAACGAAAGCCATGTGGTACCTTCGCCCACCTTGCTTTACATTTCTCAATTACTTTGACTTAACTGCTGTGTGCCCAAACTTGCTTTAAATTAGGTGAACTGAAGTGACGACAGTCAAGCAAAGACAATACCGTGGGAGCACTTATCAGAAAACTAATTTTGTGCGTTCAACTTTCCCCTAGTTCTGTATTTGTCATATTTTAGCTTTAGGAAAATAAAGTAACACACATGAATCAGGGATAAACTTTTATTAGAAATAACTCAATTCATACCCATTTCTCATCCAATCTACTGGAAAAGTTTAACTTTTGTTTTTAAATATCTACATCTTAAGTCAGTTTCCTTTCATCAGTATATAAAACAAACTTCAATTCACACATCAGCGCATATACGTACATGATAGTTTAGAAGAGTAGAGGGTAATGTTTACAGTTGTGAAAATGTGAGCATTGTAATTCTTTCTCTCTTGTCTGTAAAAATTAACTAAACCATCCTGCACACAAAGAACAAACTGCTACAGTGAAAGACACCAGAATGAGTTAAACATTGTAGAAGTCAGTTTCCTTGTGTACAAAAATAGAACATAGCTGATCAGTCTATGATACATAAATATACTGTTAAAAATAATAGAATAAAACTGTCAGGTAAACAAATTCTTGTTCCACTTTACAACTCGAGTTTCTGACATAGATCTGCTGAGGTTTGACAATCAAATTTATTATGGCAGTGACAGCAGTGTGCAGAGGTCACAGTACTCATGCTATTTGGCACAATATCCTTTTTTCTAAAAAATCATTTACTTTCTGACTGCCAGACCAGTCCACTGTGCTACTGCACACAACACATAATCTGACGGAGAGTATTGTTGTACATCGCAGGTATACAGGTTTCAATTGATCAGCCTCATCTTGGATGAGTCATCGTAAACACCACATCACGTCGAAGAAGAAAGCAAATCGTCGTCCTCGTAGCAATTAAGTCCGTCCTCAAAAAAAGGTTCACAATACAGGACACTTCGAACAGGCTTTACCCTGCCGATCAACAACAACATAAATCTAGACAAACATTGAAAAAAAAATTATCCAAAAGTATCTTAAATGATTCAGCCTGCAGGCGCCGAGCACTCACACCCGCATCTCACTGAGGGCTGCCTGCGGCAACCTTAGGTCCCTCTGAGCGTCTCCGTGGTCACTGGCTCTACTGTTCACCCGCGGCGGCGGTGGCGGGCGGGGCAGCGTATGGTGCAGCTGCGCGCCCGCGCATCCGTTGGGCGTCGGGTTCATGGAGGTGCCCATGGAGGTGCCCATAGACGTGCCCATGGTCGAGCCCATGGCGGCGGGCCCCAGGGTCACGCCCTCCTGGGCCTTGCCCAGCACGCCCATGTTCCTGGGCAGGGTGGCCGTGCCCCTGCTCGGCCCGTCCCGGAAGGTGCTGCCCGCGTGGAACGAGTGCCTGAGGATCATGGCGCCCTCGGGCCCGTCCGCACCGCCCGCCGGCCCCGGGTACTCGTGGTGCAGGTAGGCCGAGTAGTTGGGCGGCTGTCCCGTGTACACGGCCAGCCCGGACGACAGGCCGCCGCCGCTCTTGGACGACTTCATGCTGGACACGGGCGATTTGTCGCAGTGCAGCACCTGCGGGCAGTAGGCCAGTGTCGGCTTTTCACCCAAAAAGAACGAGGGTTGTGTCAGGTCAATCTACAGGATTCTGGTCTCTTAGGGGGGCCTTTTCTGGGGTAGTACTCCACTAAAAATAATTAGTGTAAAACCTCCCCAAAAATTACAAAAAAAATAAAAATAATAAAAAGTCAGAAGGACTGGTGTACGCTTGTCCTCCCGGCCCTGAGCCAGCACGCACCTGCTGTAGAGCTGTGCGAATTGTTCGATATCGAATCGAATCGAATCGAATCGGCCTGATTCGAATTCGTTCGATTTCGAATTTGCCTGATTCGATGTCGAATAATTCGAAATTTCGAATCGGTTTGGTTCGACATCGAATCGCATTGGGGTCTAGTGTGCGGCACCCGCTCTATGCCCGCACTACACGTTGTAAGTCGTCGAACATCTACGGTACGTGGCCAGTTTAAATGAGTTTAAAAATACCGCGTGACTTGCATACGAAAAATACAATCGATTTTTTTTTCGATTCGATTCGGGCTCGAATTTGGACTGATTCGATTCGATTCGATTCGAAATTTTTTGGCCAATTCGATTCGATCCGATTCGAAGAAAATTTTTGAGATTCGATTCGATTCGATTCGAAGGCAAAAATCTCGATTCGCACAGCTCTAACCTGCTGCTGCTGCTGCGCCCCGCACGCCGTCTTCTCGCGCTCCATGTCCACGATGACGCTGGACGAGAACGAGTGCCGGAGGTGCGGGAACTGCTTCTCGGCGCTGCTCCCGCCGCCGGCCAGGTCCTCGCACGCGCCGCGTATCCTCTGCTGCTGCTTGAGGCTCTTCACCTGCAACAAGGACAAGTTTAAAGGATTTAACTGGGGTGGTATTCAGATTGTCCGACCTATTTTTCTCCGACCTGGTGATTTTTCTAAAATCCCCAAAGAGCTTCCCGATCTAGGTTTCGTCCTACCTTATTTTCTCTGACCTAATTTTCTCCAGCCTCGTCGATATGATTAATTTTTTGACCGGGGGAGTTGGACGGCACCGAGTGGACTTTTGACTGTTTCTGTGACGCAGGGCTGCACTCCGTCATAGTGGCGGTATTTCCCTCAGTGCACCTAAAGTTCCCCCTCATGGTCTCTGAAGCCTCTTCCTCTAAAGTGCATTCTTCCAAAATCTCAGCATATCGACGCGGTCGGAGAGAATTAGGTCGGACAAAACCGAGGTCGGTCAGCACCTTTGGGGATTTTGGAAAAAAACAATAGGTCGCAGCAAAATAGGTCGGACAATCTAGCTGCACCGTACAGCCAACTCACCTGCAGTCTAGTGCGGTCCCGCTGGTAGAAGACGCCGGCGAAGATAAGGACGTTGAGGACGAGTAGGGAGCAGCCGATGGCGAGCGTGACCCCAAGCGCGGTGGAGTAGGCCGCCAGCCCCTCGGGCTCCAGCATGTCCCCGCCGATGGCGTTGCCGTGGCCGCCGTGGCCGCCGTGGCCGCCCGCGCCTCCCCCGGCCGCCGCGCCCGTGCCGTTGCCGAACGAGTGGTAGGAGCCCGTGATGTTGAGGCACGTGGGCATGGTCACGGGGAGGAAGACGTCGCTCAGGCGTGGCGTGGCGTTGCCGTGCCTGGCGCCCAAAAGACCTGAACAAAAGATGGTGTTGCCGTCAGCTTCAAAACCAAAACTCATGAAAAAATTAAAAAAAAAAAGAAAGAAAAAAAGAACAAGAAAAAAAAGAAAAAAAGAAAGCGCCACACAACAAAAGAGACTATAAAGAAACAGACCATACCAAAAAAACAACGAAAAACAGAACGATCGCGTGTCGGTTGAGTGTACCTGTGTCGTCGGTGGCGTCCAGCCCGGCCAGCGGGCCGAAGCCGTACGCGCGGCCCAGCGGGTCCGGACGCACGATGCCGTCGTACAGCGAGGACTCGTTGTGGTTGCGGAAGAGGTTGTGGCGCGCCACCACGTCCTCCTGGCCCGCGCGGTGCAGCTCCGGGATCAGCCGCAGCCATATGGACATCTTGTGCGCCCGGAAGTGGTTCTTCATGCGCGGCTTGAGGCCTGTAATAACGATGGCGAGGTTAAGCTGAAGCGCCGCATTGACTCACTAGCTCTGGCTTTTTTCGTTCTTTTGCTTTTTTGAGGGGATTTTAAGTGTTTGTCAGCCGTGCTCTGTCCCTGCCTTCAGGTGGAGACCTGTAGGGGGAGCAGGGCCAGCGCCCGCCGACACGAGCAGGACCCGCCCAGCCCAGGGTACACGGCATTCGGGGAGATTAGAACAGCTGTTCTACACTAAGCCTTTCATTATTATCGAGATAATTTCGCCAACACTAAGCCTCGAGATGCGGTAATGCCGTTGGATGTCGGGGAGGATCGCATCCGTCCGGCCGACCCTTCGCCCCTCGACGCCCGCGCCCCGCCCCCGAACACGCCCTCTATGACACGCCACCTCGGTTCATCCTATCGACAGGCCGGAGCACCTCTGCTGACTCGACGACAGTCTTCCTCTCTTTCCCCTCGCTGCTGCTTCTTCCGCTTTTTCTTTTTTTTCCCCTCGCACTCGCCTGCTCCCCCCCCCCCCTATTTTATGGCCGCAGGGCTGGGCTTGACCGGGCGAGCCGTTCCGCGTACGTCAGGTGTCCCCACTCTGCGGAACGAAGCACAACAGAGGCGCGCGCGCGCGTGTGTGTGTGTGTGTGTGTGTGTGTGTGTGGACGGGGCCACCTTCCCAACTCGCCTCAGGAAACTGCAACCACCGCGCCAAAACCCTCACGGAATCGATACACGACAATCAGCCGGCCAAAGTTGCTCCTCCTGATCCACTGGCCTGTCCGACGCGGCGACAGCCGACAGCCGCCCCACCCCGTCGACGGCTGCTGCTGCTGCAGCAGCGAAGAAAAGTCGCCGCGAGCAACAAAAGCGCGAGGCGTGGCGGCCGCGCTTTTCTTCCCGGGGGCGGGAGAGCGACGGAAGGAAGCGGAAATGGCGGCCGGACCCGTCGCGTCGTCGTTGGTGCCGCCGCCACGCCCCGCCACGTCCCGCCACAGGGGCGGCGGTGGCGCGTCGCACCAGAAAATATTACCCCACACGCCCAACGTGGGGCTTTGATAAAAGAGACAGTATGGTTCATAATGAAATTAAAACAACCGCTTGAAAAAACTTTTCACGATATAGTTTTTAACTTTACAAAACGACAATAACCCAGGGTGGTCCATAGACACCTTGTTTTATCTGGCTTATGCTGTACCGCATGCAGTCGTGCGGGCGGGTTTAGAAAACTTTTCTTTAGAGGCATCTACCAACCCGCAATTAAAACTTTCGTATTCACTGGAAAAACAAGTGTTGCGTACGCAACGATACTTGACGTGTTCTCAGGAGAACACGTTCCTTGATGCGATCCACTCCAAGAGTGCACAAGGAAACGTGTTTTCCCGAGATCACGTCAAGAAACATTGCGTACGCAAACATACTTGTTTCTCCAGTGTTGTCGCGGAAGGTAAACGATTCACCCCCTCCAGTTGCTGTAGACACACACAGACACACACACACTGTGTGCCACGCGGCGGTGACCGGACGGAAAGCGACCGCGCCAGGGCGCGGCGCGCGCGCCTTTCGTGTAACGGAATAAAAGGGGCGGACATTTCCGCAGAGCGCGCACGGCGTGCAAACTTTCCCGGAGGGCCGTAATGGGATGAAAAGGAATTTAGTGGTGTGCCGGAGCGGCTGGGCGCTCACACGTATGCACACACAGGACAGGCTATAGCCTCGCCCGGGGCAGGCGACCCCCTCCCCCTCCCCTCGTCCCACCCGGAGACTACTTTTTAGTGGGCAGCGTTTAATTTGTCCGCCCCGCGCCGCTGCTCGGCTCACTCTCTGCTGCGGCCGCCAGAGGTCCACCGCCGCCATCAACGCGCTGTTGTGTTTGCCGAGCCGAGCCCGAGCGGTCGCTGGCACACACACAACAGCGACCCCGCCCGCGCGGCGGCCGTGGCCGTGACGCAAAGTATTTCGCGACACACATTAATTTTCTCTACAGCGAGAGTAATTATGGTGACAAAACCTGCGTGATTTGTTTCGTTTGAAAGCACGTGGCCTTGCGTATTTTTCTTTTTGCCTTCAGTTTTTGAAATTGTATTTTTTATACTGCTATTTTTTTTTTCCCACTTACCGATCTCGAGGTACTTCTGGTGGCCGGCGTCGTACTCCTCCCAGCTGACGACGCCGCGCTGCTTGGACCGCTCCTTGGCCTCTCGGTCCTGCTGCGCCGCGCTCGCCTGGTTGGGGTTCCTGCAACAAGGGCCAGTCAGTGAGCCGGGGCGGCGCTGCAGAGGGGCCTAAGTGCCAACCGGCCGGCCGCAGACACGGCCTAGTGTTGATGGATCGCTTCGCGCAGAGTAGGCTTGCAAAGGCCTCTCCTGGCGCTGCTGCTGAGAAGCCTAGGGGAGGGGGGGGGGAGGGATGGATTCCGAAATAAACACATTTATTTTACGAGCCGCAGCCTCTGGAAAGTTGGAGTGGAGAGAACCCTTTATTATATGGGCCGCCCCTCAACGTAATACAATGTAAAGCTTGACGATGATAAAAACAGTATATTGAAAGTTAATGCAGCGATTTTTTCTTTTGAAACAGTTACGCACGTGTCCTATCACGGTCTGTGACTCAGCCAATTAGTAGCCAATTAGGTGGTCATGGGCATTCGCAGCCAATCGGTCGCACCACGGCCTACACAACTTTCGCTGCGACCACCTGGGGCTTTTCCTCAAAGGTATATTTTGCGCCGCGCTGGTCGGGGGCCGGCCTTCAGGCGGACAAATGGGCCTCCGGTCAACACAAAAACGTCGCCAAGTTTACAGCGTAATGTATACCTCCGTCCGTAATGATGGATTCATATCCGACCGTCGGACACGATGAAATCTTTATCGATCATGGAGCAGGCAGCCCCTTCTTCTTTGGTAGTTTTGCCTTTTTGCCACTAAACCTGGTATACCCGGTCAGATTTTCGTGTAACTCTGGTTATTTAGCAACGAAGCTAAAACTTTAGCTATACTGCAAAAATTTCAGCTATCTAGCTAAAAATTCACCTCTGAAGTTAGAAATTAATCTAGCTAAACATAGCTAAAGATGTAATTTTAATTCTGGTAGAAAATACGGACCTAACGCACAGGCACGCGAGGGGCAGGTGCACGTGACGCCGGTCGCGGATGGTCCGGTCAGGTTGCGCGCGCCGCGTCGTGTCAAGGGGGGTGGGCATAATCCGACAGAGATTGACAGCCCGCGATGAGCGTTGGTGGCGCGCGGGGGGTAGTTTTTGCGGCCGCTGCGCGTCGTGTTGTGTGGAGCCGCAGCTCGTGCGCTGTACAGCATGACGACCGCACCTTGTCCATTATTTATCGTGAACCATTGCGTACGAGAGCGCGCGCGCCACGTTTCTGTGTATGCGTGTATATATGTATGCTGTTAAGTTGTCGTTTTTTACCGCACATCTCTTTTTCACAGATGTGGACGTCCACTTTTTATCTCAAAACAAGAAACTGCGTCCCCTCAAAATATTCCCAAATGTTGACAAGTATTTTAAAAGCCGCGAGAAAGAAACAAAAAATAAACTAGCTACAATGAAGCCAGACTACGTCTCACGTAACAGACTTCGCGATATCTCACGAAACACTGTTACGCTGCGACGCGCCTAGTGCACCCGTGGCTAGGCCTGCGGCGCCCGCGGCGCCTGGCGCCTGCATCGCTGACACCTGAGACGAGGTAATAGGAAATCATACAGGGATGTGGCTTTGCGGCTCCAAAATTTGGCATGCTCACGGCATACGTCGGAGATATATATCACGCCGAAATTAGGGAAACGAAACTTACGATATTCTAGAGACGCTCACTTTGCCAAAATAATGAGGAAACATGTTTGTTTGTTTGCTTTTTTTTTCGGACTTAGGGAAAATGTCCCTTTGGGCAATATCGAATCCTCGAAATCCTCGAAATCCTCGAAATCCTCGAAATCTTCGAAATCCTCGAAATCCTCGAAATCCTCGAAATCCTAGAAATCCTAGAAATCCTCGAAATCTGTAGATGAGCGCTGGTGGGGACCGAGGAGCTTTATTTGCGCGACGGTCTTCGTAGTAAAGCCCGCTGGCTGCTGTGTGGCGGTGCCCTGCCCTATTTTCCCTTGCTTCCGAATGAGATAGGCGCCGCTGCTTCGTGTGATAAGATCGGCGTTCACGACCAGACAAAGTGCCGGCCACGCCGCCGCTCGAGGCTCGCTGGATATTAATCCCCAAGCCGCCGCCGACGCGCTCGCATTGTCTCGGAGGAGCTGCGAGATTATTGCAAACGACCTTCAAATTACCTGGTCGCTCCGCGACGTCGTTCCAGCTAGCGACGCCGCGTCGCGCTTCCCTTATCTTCGACGCGCCAGCGAGTACTCGCTCTCTCTCTTTGTCTCTCTCTCTCTCGTTCGCTCTCCCTGGCATTGTTTTTGTCTCCCTCTCGCGCCGGCCCTCAGCTCCCACATCAGACCACCACCCCTTGCCGCACTATCCCATCAATCAAGGGCCGTGTGCCTTCTCTATTAGTGCCCCACCCCCACCCGGCCCCACCCCCCGCCCCACCACCACGCCCTCAGCGCCGCACCCGCCTCTAATGGTTTTCGAGTAAAACTCTCCGGGTAACGAGAGTCGTTAGCGCGCACCCGCCCGGGTGTACAGCCGATAGGTCTACAGCGGTAGTTGCAAATCTTGCAAATTAAAATGATGAGACACATCGGGCGGGGCCGTGCCCGCCGTGCCACCTGCCGTCCCCGCCTGCTCTGCCGGGGCAGCACGCAGCGCCCCCATCTCATGCCCGCCCTATCGCCAGCCGACCCACACACAGTCGGTGCGTAATTGGCTGGCCCGCTCGGTGACCTCCATCAACAACGTCCGTTTGGTCCAGAGCACAGGCTGCGATCCTGCGTGCTATGCGACCCCACGGGCCGTAGAGCAGAGAGAGAGGGGGAGAGAGAGAGCAGAAACGGGCGAAGGGGGGCTAAAAGACACTTGGCCGTAGTGACACGGATGTGTCAACATCGTTTCTTTATATACGTGATCTCTGCTTCTGCTGTGAGGGTGTGCGTTCAGCGGGGTGTGCACCGGGCGCAGGGTGGCTGCAGCCCGGGGGCCTGTGTCCCGCCCACCTCCCGCACGTCCAAACGGCCGGGCCGGTCGGCCGGGCAGGCGGCCCCGCTGCCCCATTACCGAGATCAATGTGTAATTGGACGGGCCACAATTACTGGTGGGATGCTGCCCCGTCCGTCCGTCCGTTCGACCGTCCGTCCGTCCGACCGACCACCCCTGCGACCTTTCGCCCGTGCGTCTGCCTGCCTCGGCCAGTTTTAGCCGATCGACCGCAACGAATAGGAATCCTGCCTGCCTACTCCGAATCCACAACATTCACAAATAGGCGCGCATGTTCACATATAATACACAAACAATAGCTTTGTGCGTTACTTTTCAGAGGCTTAGTGAAAAATAGTACAGTTTTCCTTCTCTGTTATGATATCCCGGGAAGTGTCTTTTTTTCTTCTTTCAACTGATAGGGCATTCTCCTTTAGCAAAACCGCCACTCTCCGATAAAGGAAAGGGTCATCAGTGGAACAGGATGTTTGTAATTAGCGGACCGTAGCGAGCCGTAGAGTGGAGAGGTGGTGGAGGGGGCGAGAGGCGGGCTTGTAGTACGCGCCCGGCCCGGCCCGGGCCACCAGGCACCGCCGCCGAGCCCTGAATTATGGCTGGCTCCATTTTCGATAATGCGGTGGATTTACTGCAGCATAGATCTTGGCCGGCCCGGGCTCGTCCCCGCCCCGCCCGCGCGCGCCGAATGCGCAGGCAGGCGGGGGGCTGGCAGCCACGCCAAACAGACAACACCCCGCGTCTCTCCTCGGTCCCGCCCTGCCACGCCTCTCCACCGCAAGCGCTTCATCCTGAAGGCCCACCACCGCCGCCGGCAGAGCCCTCGCAGGGGCCTAAAGGAAGGCCGCTTCTCTCTGCCCGCAGAGCGGGGCGGGTGGGGCGGCAGGGGGCTCTACAATTCCCTACCCCCGTCCTCGCCACCGGGCGTCCCGCGACGATTAGAACTGTCAGAGGCTAGAGTGGCCACCCGCCCTTCATTCCTGCCGAGCCCGATTAAAACTGTCAATCAAATGCAAAAGCGAAACATAATTCACGCCCAGCGGAGCTCGCGGGCTGCGGGCTGCGGGCTCGCGGGCTCGCGGCTGCGGTGAGCGGAGCCAGGGCCACCAGGTGGTCGGCACACGGAAAAAAAATAGTAGGTTTATGGCCAAAATAACAGCTGAAATACGGGATAACTCATTATACAGGGTTTTCCATAGGCTCCTGCTTTCTTTAGCTTTCTTATGGATGCAGGCGTGCGGCCGGGTTGCATACTACTCGCACGGGGCCATCAGGTGCAACGGCGAGCTTGCATGCGGTAGAGTATAAGCAAAATACTTTCGTGCGGCGACTACTATGCGCAACGGCCCTGGACCGCTCTGAACACCCCACTCGACGCGGCACAAGAAAGATTAACAAGGGAATTACGAAGTCGGACCTATTTTCCTCTCAGGTTGACCGCCTGCGTGTCCTGGCGCGCGGCTGTAAAGAGGGAAAGTTGCGGCGGTCTGCCGCGTCGGCCGCCGGCCTTCCGCCCGTCCGGCAGGGGCGAGACAAGTCCGGCCCGCCACGACGCCCCGCCGCCACTCTGTCTGATGATCCGCTTCGGGACAAGAAGGGTTGGCCGGCCGGGCTCTGGGCTGTCCACTCGGCTGACACGAACCGGGGACCCCAAGTCGATCCAAACTCCAGGGCCCCGCAGTGTTCCGCAAGCCACTTCCTCGGGCTCGCCTCTCCTCCGCTTGCTCCCCTCCGCCGCGCCACGCCGCGCCACGCCGAGACCAAGGGAGGACAGCTCGCCAATCGGATCCCAGTGAGCCACATGAGAAACAATGTCAGCTTGGCGGTCCGGCACAGCGGCAGCTTCTCAAGACGCGAGCGACGGCACCGGGCAGTCGTAATGGTGCACGCGAAAAATTTAAGAAGCACAGAGACAGTAGTAACTGCTATGGTTATAAAACAATAAAGCCGTCAGTGATACTACGATGGGTGCCGTGGAAAATCCGAGAGGGCTCGGTTCTACCGGCTATGAGCGCTCTTACGCTTCCACTCATTGCGACTCGCTCGCTCGGATCTGCACCGGCCGCGGGTCTCTTCAGCGGAGATATGGGTCGCCCCCAGCGCCGCACCAGCGTTGGCGCTCAAGACTTTGCATTTTG